GAGTGTTTCTCTGAGGAAGCGATGACCGAGCTGAGATCTGGAGTTTGAATGGAGCTCACTAGGGGTAAGGCAGGAGCATGAAAGAGCCGTAAGACATCCCGCTTAGAAGTCATGGCCAGGGCACAGGCCTCATCTTGAGGGCGCACGGCGCATCTGACCTGAAAGCTGAGTGGAGAGGGAGCTTGAGAGCGTTGAAAGATGAGGTCAGAGTGCGGAGCGGGCCAGACCTTGCGGCTGTCTGTAAACCAAAACACATTTTAAGCAAGGGAAAGGTAGGGGATCGTTTGTGCACTTGTTCACAATGCTAGATCCCCGGTATTTAGAATAAACTCGGTCAGGTCTTTGGTGAGTGAGTGGATGAATGAAATAATGGAAAGCAATTTTTTCTTTTCATTTAAAGGATGACTTAGAGAAAAATTAATAAATCCTTCTTGGGCCATTCCTTTGTATTTCTGAATGTACCACCACATTTCAAAAGTCAATCTAGGTACACAGCTTATTGTCCGTCCTTATATTAAATGTCCATCCTTATATTAAATGTTTCATCACTTGAGGTCACTTGACATCTTTTTCCTTTGCAATTAAAAAAATCACCCTAACCTACCAGCTGCGTTTAGCCCTCACTCCGTGCTTTCCTACATCACTCGGTCCTGACCGTCCCACTCATTATCTGTTCCCTGTTGCCCTGTGTTATTTTTATTTGTAGAGCATGTTACTATCTGCAATGATGTATATATTTTTTAAAGCTTAATGTATGTTTAAAATAGACGAAGAGCAGAAATGATCAGTCCTGGTGCAGGCACTAATGTGCTTAGTTAAATTATACATTGTGCTGTAGGTAGGGTGAGTCCCGGAGTGTGGTCCGAGAGTGAAGTGGTGACGAGCAACGGGTCCGAGGCCAGACTGCCTGTGCTTGAATCCGGGCTCCTCCTTTTACTGGCTGCGGGAACTTCGTCTAATTACTTAGCCTTTCTGGGCTATGTTTTAGTGATACCTACCACCAAGGATTGGTCTAAGATAAAATTTTTTAATAAGCTCTTAGAACAGTGCCTGGCATGTAGCAGGTGTGCAGTATTATTGTCACCATGTCTGTCTTCCAAGTAGCAGTGAATGATCTTGTTTTCTGGTTGGTTTACTGTGTGGAAGGGATTATTTGGTACAGGCATGTTGAAATCTTTGGATTAGTAAATCCAAAGTAGTAGTAGATTTACCAATGGTAATTCTACCCCAGTCTCCTCCCCCTGGGGCCCCACCTTTTTCCTCATTGCCTAATAATGTGTGTGTGTGTGTATATATTTTTTAATATATGTTTATTGATTTCAGAGAGAGGAAGGGAGAGGGAGAGGGAGAGAGAGATAGAAACATCAATGATGAGAGAGCCATTGATCGGCTGCAGCCTGCAACCCGGGCATGTGCCCTGACCGGGAATCGATCCCCGATCTCTGGGATCCTAGGTCGATGCTCAACCGCTGAGCCATGCCTGGGTGGGCGTAATGTATATTTTTGAGTTCCTTTTTAACAGCCCTTTTCTGAATATAATTTATTCATCTCCTATAGCTATGATCTAGTCAGTGGAGGAATTACACAGAATTTCTCTTTCATACTTGATGCTATACCTTTACTCATGCAACTCAAAGTTACATTGACTGTTTTGTTGTCTGTATTTTACTATTAAATTACATTTAGTTTATTACTAACTAAAACCCCCCAAATTTACCCAATCCACATTTGCTTACGTTACAAAATTTTTTCCCTTCGTTTATTAAATGTATTGATGGTTTAACATATTATGATATGCCAAACTTTGTAATGGACACTAGATATATTCTTCAAGGGGTTAGGAGTTCCCTGGGATGTCATGCATACACGCAGAGACTTGTAATGAAGTGTTATTGTGATAGTTGTTATAGTAGAGATGTGCAAAGGTGTATGATAACACAAAGGAAGGACACCTAACTCTCACAGTTGGAGAGGGGGTGAGGCTATGAAAATGAAGATGGGGTTGGGGTTGGGAAGAAGTCAGAGTAATGCACATGGAGGAGAGAATGTTTGTCATAAACTATATATAAGTATGACCCTGGCCACCAAGAGTGTGGGAGGGTCAAACACTTTCATGATAAGGTACAACTTGTAACATGAAACTTTCAAGTTTTTATTTAGAACATTTGAACTACACGTTGCTGAGTGTGATAGGAGCATAGATAGTGCAGGGAATTGGTGGGAGAGATACTGACTCGGTAAGCAGGTACCAGGTCCTTAGAGAGTTAATGCTTAATCCTATAGCATTAAAGATTTTAGGTTAGGGAAGGACATGGTTAGATTGATGCGATTTTAAGGAACACTAGGCTGATTACCTGTATAATGTGATCTGTGAATTGAAGTAAGAATAGAGGTAAGGTGACCAATGGAGAGGCTATTGCTTGTCACACAAGTAAGAAAAATCATAAAGTCCTGACTAAGACATGGCCTTAGAAATGGGAAAGAAGGGATTTTTTTAGATATTTAAAATGTGGATATGTATTGAGCACTTGGGCACTTTGAATGGTGAGATCCTAAGGGCTTGACAATCAGCTGTACGTGGCAGGGAACAGAGGAGCTGCGGCTCAGTCCCACATCTGAGGGACTGAGTAGATGACGATGTCATTCAGAAGAGAGATGGAGAATTGATTCCAGAGAGGAGAAAGATTCCCTTTGGGACCTATCACCACTGAACACCTATGGGGCATAGAAATGGAATGCACAGTAAGCATTTGGCTCCTGCCGCAGGAACACCTTAGAGAATTTTGTGCCGGGAAGTGAAACTGTGAATCACCCGTCTATAGAAATCAGGTGAAACATTGGTAAGCATTAAACCAACTAGGAAAGGGCTGAGGGCAATCACGAAGAGAACCTAGCACATAATAGAAGCATGGAGAAGGGCAGCCCTAGGAAATGACTTGGAAAGAAATGTCAGGTAGGGGGAGAGTGGTGGCATAGAAGCCATGTCAGAGAGTTTACAAAATATTTTGTAGTATTTAAGTGGTGTTGGCCATGGCTAATGGCAAATGTGCTTTTTCAGTAAATGAAGCCAGAGCAGGTGCCCCTCCGGGCGGCCCCCCTCCCTTTGGAGAAAGCTGCCTGCAGCAGAGGCGGGAGAGAGCCCTTGGCCTTTGAGGCCTTGCTCCGGCTCACCACCGAGGTCTCACCCCTCACGGTCCAGCTGCGAGTTGTGACTGTTCTTTAGTTTAAATGGGGATAAATATTCTCCTCTGCTTTTCCCTTGTCTTTCTTTTTAGAGAAAAGAATTTAGGGAGAAATGACGTTTCTTTGCAGTCTTTAAACAGAGGTGCCATATTTTCTTTAAAAATTCTAGTGAACTAGAGAACACCACCTACAGCAGCCCTGCTTTTATTTTCAGTTTAACCCCAAGTTTTCCATGCGTTTTGGCCACGGGTTTCACGGGAGCGGAAGCAAGGCATGTTCATCTCAGCACCCCAGGGCCCACTCAGACTTGTGGCTTACACAAGTTCTCAGCAAATGCTTATTTTTGTCTTTCTTGTTTATGGGTGCATAGTTTCATTTTTTTAGGGCTTCCAAGTTCTTTTGAATCTTCTTACTTCTCAGCATCTCAGGTCATTGAATTATGCCAATTCATCTTCCGAGTTTTATTAATGCTCCTCTTTTGAGCCGCCTAAAGTTCAGTATCTTCTTTTCTCCCCAAGTGTTCAAGGGAAATGAGAATTTATTTTAAGGCTTCATTTCTGCCACAGCATTTGAGGGTGGAAATTGAAATAGAGCCAGGCTTAAGGACATCAAGGTTGAAACAGAATCGGCCAAGGCACTTCTGCTACCCTTTTACTACCACAAGGGCCCCTGCTTCTGCTTCCCTGTGCTTTCTTTCTCTTTCTTTCAAGTTTTTATTTAGAAAAATTTCAGTTATGTAGAGTATAACCAAATGCATTTTTACCTTAACTATCAAGAACTTTACGATGCCATAATTTAGAGTCTTATTAATGTTACATCCCTTCCACTACCCTAACCAGTTTCTCTGTGTTGGTCAGAACTTTAAGCTCGGAGTAAGTTCTGGTAGATTCCTTGCGTCCCTTCTGGGAGACAGAATTAGCACTAAGGGCGTCATGGACTCCATGAGACTAGGAGGCGATGATGGGATGGGAGGCTTCCTGGATCCCTGCTCTGTCTCCCCTCCTCGTACCGGGAACGCATTTATCCTACCTTCCCGGGCGGCTTATTATACGCTCCTAACAAGGACCTATGGGACCTTCATTGACTGAAGAAGGTCTACGCTATATTTCCATTTGGATAATGCTATATTCGGAATTTTAAGCTCCTCAACAAAATATGATTTGTTTTGCTGCCATTCCCTTTTGGTATTCTGTCCTATGACTGTGGCTAGAGGATGATAGGATTGGGTAGGTTCTGTACCCATTCAAGGTTTAGCTCTCCACTTTCTCAGAGCTCTTCCGATTTAGCGCTTATCATGACTGTGGCAGGAGGTAGTGGAACCAACAATGCCATTGCCTGTTCTCCCCATACGCACAGAAGGATTTCCTGTTTGCTTGCCTGAAAGATTCCTCTTCCGACATTTTGCTGTTCATAGCGATTATAAAGTAAGAAGTAAAAATAAATCTTTTAGAGGAAAAGAAGACGTAAGAGGTCTGAACTCATCACTCCGTTTCTATACTCCGTGTATTGCGCCTGAGCACTTTTCTCCTTTGGTTTTTGTCTGTGCTATTTATACTGCACTTATGAAAATAAATTGGGTCTTTCTTAGCCAATGAAATGCTCTGGATAATAATTCACAAATACCTTGTTTCTGAATGGGAAGGAATCTGCATTCAGAAAAGTCGCTTTATAATTTCAGCTATTTTTGTTGACAAAGCCAGAGCTATATTATGATGATGCTCCTGGTATGTAAGTGGTTGAGGATCACGTTCATGATGATGAGCCATTGTACTGTTTTCTTTTCTGAAAGTGAGTGTCATTTCTTTTCTTTTATTCAGGGAATCAGCAGTCTCTTCAGTTCTTTGAAAGTGGTGCGTCTCCTGCGACTGGGCCGTGTTGCTAGGAAGTTGGACCATTACCTGGAGTACGGAGCGGCGGTCCTCGTGCTCCTGGTGTGTGTGTTTGGACTGGTTGCCCACTGGCTGGCCTGCATATGGTACAGCATTGGGGACTACGAGGTCATCGATGAAGTCACCAACACCATCCAGATAGACAGTTGGCTCTACCAGCTGGCCTTGAGCATTGGGACTCCGTATCGATACAATACCAGTGCAGGGACGTGGGAAGGAGGACCCAGCAAGGATTCACTGTACGTGTCCTCTCTCTACTTTACCATGACAAGCCTTACAACCATAGGATTTGGAAACATAGCTCCTACCACAGATGTGGAGAAGATGTTTTCAGTGGCCATGATGATGGTTGGCTGTAAGTATCTTGATTTCTTTTTTTAAGAAAAATTGTTTTGAACAAATTATTGTTGTTGGCAATTTTCTAGGCTCCAAGCTCTGGCAGGATTAAAATGAAACTGCTTTGTTTTCAAAAAGGTGTTTAATCCATATCACTTGCATTGGTTTAATTTTTATTCATCCTTAGAAAATAAAAAAAAGTAAATAATGTATTTTACTTTTTAGAATATATTAACACGTTTAAACAGCATGGATAGAGTGATATGAACATTAAAGTGGAAACTCTGTGATTTAATTCTGTTCAAATGTTGTACCTGGCAGAGCTCTTTCCAAGGGAGACCAGCATCTAGACAGGCAGCACCTGGCACATTCCATAGGTTTTGTTGGCAATGCAGTAAATTCCAGAAAAGCAGACAGGATCTGTTGGGTGTTTGTAGTTTAGAAAGTATTTTACCTAGAATAGAATTACTGAATTAAAGTTGATTTTAAGATGCAGTTTTATGCAGGTTTTACCATGAAGACTGGTAAAAAAAGATTTAGAAATGTAATTTCTGTTATAAACGCTCTAGTTTGGATACATGCCTGGTTGAGAGAGTGTGAGGATTAGTAAATATAAACCTGTTAAGCAATGACAAGAGCATGTAGGATTTAGCATGCGTTGCTGGTACTAAATGCCTTGAGGGTGTTCTTGGGAGTAGAAGGCTCTCTAAAGGAGCCAAAGACCATGCATTCTACACTCAGAGAGACTGGGTGACGACTGAAGACCAGACACTAAGAAATACATACCCAGGAAGCTGTTGTGGAGGAAGATAGGGAGCAGTCGCCACTATTCACACCTTCAAGTTGGCTTAGATGATTTATTCAAACCTAGTTCTGCTACCTAAAGTAACCTTAAGGTCATTGTACTGGAGTTTTAATTAGTGTTATGAGCAGCTGTTAAGCCTTTGGGTCACGGTCATTGGTTTTTGGTCCCCATCCTTTCTAAGGTCCCACATTGCAGAGTTTTACATTTTGACACTGATGGGAAATATACTAGAATTCAGGAGTGTCGGCTGGCCCACGAAGGGTCGATATCTTGAGTTCAGAGTGTCTGAGAGCTATTGGAGCACCTATGTTAGTAGTTGTTTAGCTTCTGTCCCTCTGCCTCCTTTGTGCAGGTATAGAAACAAGAACTCACAGGTTCTATTTGCTGGTTCAAGGTAACAGTTAGAGGGAGAATTCCAAGTATTGTTTGCTCCAGAGGCTTTTAGGAGGAAAAAAAATGTGCTTAAATACAGAGAGATTCTGATGATTAATTGAACTGTTGCCTACATACCAAAATGGTAAGATGTATTGGCCAAAAGGTGCTTTATAAATTCAGAAGACAATATTTTGTCAGATGTAGTATTTATTGCTATACTACTTTTAATATTTATATAATCCATTTTGCTTTACATAAGAGCATAGTTGGATTTTAACAAATTGTTTCAAGTAATTATATATTCACTGGGAGTTGCAAAGAGTACAGAGAGGGCCTTTGTGCTCTTCGCCTGGCTGCCTCCAATAGTTAGATCTTATAAATCTCTAGTACAAGACCCACGCGGACACTGGTACAACGTGTGTGTATAGTTCTGTGGTGATCCAGCACCTGGGTAAATTCCTGTAAGTACCACTGAAATCGAGATACAGAATAGTTCCATCACCACAGAGATGCCTCTCATGTTACCAACCTGTAGTCGCACCCACCCCTTCCCTCAAGCATCCCTAACCCCTGGCAGCTATTGATCTGGTCTTCATCTCTATAACTTTTTTATTTTGGGAATGTTATATAAATGGAATCATATAAAATGTGACCTTTTGAAATTGGCTTTTTCCACTCAGCATAATCCCCTTAAGATCCATCTAACTTGTTGAGTATCTCAATAGTTTGTTCTTTATTATTTCTGAGTAGTATTTCAATGTTTGGATATACCGTTATTAACCATTCATCTATTTAGGGACATTTTGGTCATTTTCAGTTTGGGGATATTACAAATAAAGCTGCTATGAGCATTCATGTACAGTTTTCTGTTTGGACATAAGTTGTCAGTTCTTTGGGATAAATATCTAGGAATGTTATTGCTGGGACATATGGTAAGTATATATTTAGTGTTTCCTTTAAGAAGTTGGCAAACTATTTTGCACAGTGGATATATGTACTAACATAGTTACATTTTCCACAAGAGAAAAACAAGACGATAAAATCTATGTAGAATTGGAGGGCACCATTATTCATTTTGTTTCTCAGGCCCCAAACCTGGAAATCCTCCTAGGTATCTGTTTTTCTCGTGCATTTCATTTATTCATAACCAGCTCCTTTGACTTTACCTTCAGAATACATTTGATTATTTCTCTCCACTTCCATAACTTACCACCCAAGACCAAGTCACCACCATCACTGGCCTGGACGTTTGCAGGAATCTCCTACATGTTCTGCCTCTTTTTACTCTTGTCCCACAATCTCTACCCAGAGTAGCCCTTTCAAAGTACATCGGATCACACCATTCCTCTGCTCAAAGCCCTCCCTTGTTTCCCAACACACACAAAGTAAAACTCAGGTTCCCTGTCCTTCTGTCAAAGCCGTGACGCCTGCCCCTTGCCTGCCTCACCCACTCCCCTTTCTCCCACCCCACCCCCGCTTAGCCTGCTGCAGCCCTGGCAGCCTTGCTGCCTCCGAACACACCAGGCTGACTCGTGTCTCAGGGCCTTTGTGTTTGTTTTCCTCATGCTCATAACGCCCCTCCCCTGTATGATGTCCTGAATTCATGCGGGTCCACACTCAGACTCCCTCTTCAGAAATTCCTCCCAATGCTACCCTGCTGTGAAAAATTCCGCCCCCATGCCAACCACCCTTTTTTTCTGCCCTTTAATCTTTTTCTGCTTCACTGTACTGACCATGAAACCGTGTTGCCTCTGTTTTTCTTTTCCATCAGTATGTAAAGTGCATGAGAGCAAGGCCTTCTTTTGCCTTTATTTTGCTTTTGTACACCCAACTTGTAAATAATTTTTAATACCACGTTCAGTCTAAATTTGTTTATAAATGAATGGAGATGTCCCTGATGGTCATAGTGAGGTTCTCCTGTCCTTGAATTCACTCCAGTTGGGTCTCTGATGAAGATACATGCCAGGAAAATGTGGCCTTTGAATTTCGGTCCCGATTCCTTCATGAAAACCTTGGTGAGCTCATCTGCACTGTCTGCCTTTGGGGCACAGTGGCCCCTTTAGCTGGATTGCCCCAGCCCTTAGTCTCTCACTAGGCTGGTGACAAATTCTAAGAGGTTAGAGGCACCAACAACTCTTTCGCCACTTTCTACCACTGACCTCCTGAATCTATCTACATGGGAAATTTTCACATAGACTCAGTAGAGTTTTCAAAGTTTCATTTGATTCTGTTGGTCCCATTCCTTCTCGACTTCCCGTGTGCCCAGTCATGTTGCTATATGTAAATGTCCTTCTCTTTCCTTCAGTTCCAGTCTTGATTTCAAGATGAAGACCTGGTCTTAAAGTTGGTCCTTTTCTGGGTTTTCGCTATTTCCTTTCAATATCTGGGCCGTTGTTTTCTGTTCATAAACCAATTTCTGACATCTTTTGCCTGTTGATTAGATTTTCTTGTTATGTCTCTGAATAACTTTCAGTCTCTATAGCCAGAGTGTTCCTGGGAGATGCCTTTTAATTTCCTCCTTCTACCTGAGTCGTTAGTAATTTTATGGCATGTTTCCTTTGCAACAACCTAAGAAGATAATAGAAAACTCTCAAGACCCACGAAGTGTTACAGTAACTTTCCACAACTCCAAAATTTATTAGATACATATGAACAAAANCTTTACCTACAGTAACTTTCCACAACTCCAAAATTTATTAGATACATATGAACAAAATATCAATGAAATGTAGCTGTTGTAGCTGTTTTCTATCTTAGTTTAATTTTTTCCCCCCTGCAGTAACACCAAGGAAAACAGATAAAACAAACCACTGGTGTTCTCAGAACCAGTGTTATCAGCCATAGACCAAGCCAGGGATTTAGTGGTAATAGTGTGTGTGGGGTGTGTGTGTGTGTGTGTGTGTGTGTGTGTGTGTGTGTGTGTGNGATTTAGTGGTAATAGTGTGTGTGGGGTGTGTGTGTGTGTGTGTGTGTGTGTGTGTGTGTGCATGAGAGACGGAGGGAGAGAGAGAAAGGGAGAGAGAGAGAAGGAGAGAGAGATGGGGAAGGAGGNACAGAGGGAGAGAGAGAGAGAAAGGGAGAGAGAGAGAAGGAGAGAGAGATGGGGAAGGAGGGAAAGTGAAGAAAGAACAGAAAACAGAAAGGTTGCAGCTTTCAGTCAATCCATGCTAGCTGTTTGAGAAGCATCACTTGCAACCTTATAACATAGTAACTGAGAAAAATGTTTATCAAAAGGTTGTTGGCGATACCAATCACCTTTATTCTGTTGAGAAAAGTAATCACTACTTGTAAAAATAGCTTCCTTTCCTGAAGAAGGTCATCTGAAATTTTCGTGCCTTCCAGCAATATCTAGAAATGTCAATGGCAGCCCTTTCAGCTCCTAGGTCCTTTCTGACAAATCTTCAAGTAAAATTTATGACTGTGGCCTCCCTTTCACTCTGTCACCTTGAGTTTCCTTTTGATCCTTTCTATGTCAGCAAGATCCCAGGATATTTCCCTTACCTGCTACCGAGGAATTTCTTAGACTAAATCCTTTGTTCCAACATTTGCCCAAGGTGAAGAAGCCTCGGGCTCCGATTCCAGAACTAGAGGGTTGTTTGGATCTTCTCAATATGTGTCTACTACCATGTATCCTCTACCTCAGATCTGCCCTTTTTCAGCAGCATGCTCTGTGCCTTGGCTGAACTGAGCGGCTCTGGTAGCAGCTATTACGATGCCGGGTAGTCAGCTCCCCCCATTTCTCTGTATCTGTCCATTCATGAATGAACCTCACTACCCTGCTGACGGTCATGAAATTCACTACCTAAGGGTTTCTGTGAAAGAGGATATTTTTGCAGTTT